TCTTGGTCTATAGCCACGACGTGCCGAACCGCTTCTGGGCCCTGATGGAGCCTTACTGTGCGGACATCACGGAGACCAATATATCCTACTTGGAGAGCATCCTCAAGTCGTACGTAGAGGAGGCCACCACTGCCAAGTACTTCCAGTTACCACCGGAACCGACAGTGGGAACTGACCACAACCTTCGTTCGGCCCACCACTCTCCTGATCTCCATCACGGTGAGGACCGGTCTGTGTTTCTTTGACTGACTATTTACAACTGGCCTGGACAGAGCGCATTTTGTCGATGACCAGGGATGTGCAGGGGGTCTTCTCTGTTGTTACCAGCTTATTGTACTCTAGACCCGATCTCACACGAGCTTGGCTTTAGTTGACCTAATATCCAGAGTTGTAAGACCAACGAATGTTCTCTCAGGCACAGTTATTGGTGGTATTCACTTCGTCTGCCTCGGCATAACATCCCAAGACTAGGTCTCAGGATGAAGACGAGGCGTGTCAGCTATTAGAGCCTTCCTGTTTTCCGCTAGTACATTTTCACTGCTGATTGCTACGCAGTGGTGTGCGAGGGCTTCTAGGGCAAAATCAGCCCTTCGTATTCCGTTCCGCAATCACCGCAGGTCCGTGAACGCCGCTGTTGTGTGATTTTAAAATTTTTCTGTTCACCAAGAGACGGCACCCCTTGGCTCAATTGATAAGGCTCGACGTTTACTTACCATCTTAATCCGGGTTGCAATTCTAAGACTTCCCGCTCACAGTTTGCTATAGGACTGACTGCTGATGGCACAGCGTTTGTTCTCTGAGTGGCATTGTTTTGTCTTGTAAGCCGAGTTTACTGTTTCAGTGGGGGCTAACACTGGGGAGTTCATCCTCGCAGCAAATCAGCAAAATCCTTCTCGCTAGAGTAAATCTAATGTTTCAGTGTTCCACGAAGCGCTAAGAGTTTGTGGCCTGGAGGGTTGCTACTTGATGGGGTAACTCAGTCCGTATCAGGCAGGCAGGCAGGCAGGCAAGTAGCCCTTGTTGGATCCGGAACCCCGC